TCAATGATAATGTTTATGAAACTGTAAGGAATTATGATTGGAACGTAAGAACAGATTACATTTCATTGTTTTCTATTGGTTGGGCAAATTATCCAAAGGCAAACCACTAAGTGTCAGCACACAGATACAAACTCATACATTGTGCTATTAGCTGGCATCTTTGTTGGTGTTATTTACGATTTGTACTCTTTCTCTCTTTGGTTATAATCTCGGACAAATTAAAAGTTTATCATAACCTCCGGACCAAGTGTATAAAAATGGGTTGTTACAAAAAAAATATATAAAAATGGGTGTCAATTTGACCTAGAGAATGTCAAATAAATAAACAACGCCATCCCCTGGTTATCGCCGAAAGTTGCAATTTATTTCAACTAAAAGTATTCCACATCCATTACAAAGAAAGCATTAATTAGCTTTATGTCATTGCACATAAACTACTACTAGTAGTCTATTATGAAGATAAAGCTAACGATATAAACAAACACTAAAGAGATTTGTAATACGATAGAAAGAAAATAGTGAGAATTCATCGTGTCATAAGGAAAAGTCGAACGTTCTCTTAAACTGAATATTTGCTTTAACTTATTTACTGAAAAATATCTCATAGCTAGTACCATTATTTAATTCAGGTTTTTCTTCTGTCGACGAGATATTTTCATTTATTTCTCTGTCGACCAGATATTTTGTTTAGTCATGTGATAAGCTATATCACTCATAGTGATAACTTGTAAAATCATACGCACCCGACAATTATTTATCTCGGCTTGACCAGTAGAAAATAGAAATATTGAATGATTGAAGACAGAATAAAAGAAAAAGACACGATCTATAGAAATAAAAAGATACAGTAAAATAATACGTACGCGTAGATTAGATGGGCCACGTGTGAAAGATGAGAAGTGGAGAACATGGCACGTGTGAATGTACGTGTCGCGGACGTGTAATGTGGACTTGGCCATGACGATGCGAGATTATACGACGCGGAATTAGACCCATACGTATCTCCCAAAATAATCTTATTTTAATCTAATATCGAATAGTCCAATTTTCTAAGGTTTTTGGTAGGTCAAAAGCACCAAAAACATTACTAAATGAGTTGTTAGATTTGACGAGGAACGAAAATAATTAATTGATCCGTTTATCAATTCTTTTAGTTTTTGGTTAATGTTTCTTAAATGTTGCATGGTCAAGCTTTTGATATAGCACGTAGCTTTACCATTTTTCTTAATATAGGTTTGTTTACTAACTCGTAACATGCAAAATGCATTTACATTCACTTATTGATTACATAAATATATCATATTTTATGCGTGGATATATACAAATTAATAAAGAGCAGAAATGGTAGTATACCAAAATCTTAAACGTACGAAAAATTTGTTTTGATATTCAAAATAGAGTAAACCGACTGAAATACGAATATACGATACTAGTTTTCTGATAAAATACTGTATTAATTTAATATAAAATTAGACAGATAAATTGGTAATTTAAGTTATGAGATTAAAAAATGGTGGTTACATATTATAACTAGTTTGAAATAATAGATAGTATTAAAACTTTTACACATAACAGTCGACACTCGACACTAATAGAGAGTAAGCCAAAAAATAGTTGTCTGATTATTATAGTTCAGCTTGTATAAACGTTCCAGATTTGTTTTAGGAAATTTGGTTCGAATCATGCATCCATGTCACTGTTGACCACCAAAAAAAAAAAAAGACAATAAAACTGCTAAATATATACAATCAAAATATTCAAAATTTCTTCTGATGCTATATTTTTGGCTAAAGGTTACGGAATGAATAAGCAACCAACCACGACCATGGAATATGATATTTAAAACGTCAAAAAAAAAAACAAAAACTTGTATTAAAATTGTTCAAATATTATTGAGAAGTTGGAATCCACTATTTATATAGTGATGTCATGTGCAATTCTTTTCAATACTTGTATTATGATGCCATGCTCGTCTAATTAACTATACAATTAATATACAGTGATTTTCGGTATTTTGGATAGGTAGGTACTACTGTACTAGGTATTCTATTAAAATCCATAATTAAACAATAATGTTTTAGCCGACCCAAGATAAAAATAACCCAACTTACTCTAAAGATGATAATGGTTTTAAATGTTCTTGCAAAAAAAACAAGAACAGTGTCTTAATAAGTTCTAGTTAGGATACTTTTGACGAAATTGTTTATGTTAATGAACTTTTGAAATAAATTGTATATGTTTATAATTAATTATTCAGCACGAAAAAGAGTTTCGTATAAGTTCGAGTCTTTGTGTGTATTGGAAGTTTCGAACACGTAAAAATCTCTATCTCCATTAATTAGTATGTGTCTATTCTTGATTGATAATGACTCTAGATTAGATAACAATTGATATGATTCTACATCTTTCAGATTTGATTTTATGTATTCATTATTTTTGTCTGACAACATTTATTCATAATAATTTGATGTTCTTTCTTTTTTTGGTTAACCTAGTGACCACAAAATAATTTGAAATGTGGTTACCACTCAATAGTGAACTACTTTCCGACCAACCTCATTGTATGGTTCTCCATAAACCTTTTCATGCACCAATTGGTAAATTATGGGCAGAAAAAATATCACTAGTTGAAAATGTACAATCTAATTACCGAAAGTGACCCATAAGAGATAAGACTCGAGTTTAGACGACAAAATATCAGAATTAAACATCAGAACAACTGTAAAATACATAAGCAAATAAACATAAAAAAATAAAAAATAATGAATGATAAAGACATTATCGGCGGAACATAGAAGAAGTACGTAGGAGACAAACACCGCGTGCCACTTGTCCCTTGTTTTTTTTTTCCTTATAGCATAAAACTATGTTCAAATTGGTACCTTTTTATCATTAAATTATAAAAATAAATTGTACCTTTTTGAGGTTAGGATTTTAGCAATTTTTTTTTTTTTTTGCTTAAAATATATTTTACGAGTTTGATTTAATTTCACCTCAAAGCAAATTCTAAATAGAATCTGTTAATGGTGATTGATTTGAAATCACTACTAGTCCACAAATACTTCCGTGCGTCCAAATTACAAAAAGGAAAATCATTCGAAAAGATAGATACTAGCTAGGGGTACTAATTAGGTTTATATCTACATAAACGAATCCTAAACAAAATCCGTTAATAGTGGTTTGTTTGAAGTCCCTAGTAGTCTTATGTATACGATGTATATTACATCGTTGTCAAGTGGATTTTTTTTTTGTTAATCAATATAGTCATAATATAGTCACAACTCACAACAATCTACTATATATTTTCAATAGTTATATTAAATTATATTTTATATACTAGTTCTTTGAAAAGGATGTTGATTGAATTAATAAAAGGAAAAAAGATATTCAGCTACACGAAGTATAACGGAATACATGGCTACATATGCCAAGTTTAGAAATATAGAACCAACTACACGAACTAAATGTATTACATGCCCACATATACCAACTATATGACGACATGTAGTCAACATCACGAACATCTTACTCCGGTACACCAATCGTCGAAATCCGGCGTTAACCATCGTTGACCGGCATTGACCAGCAAAAATATGCAAAAAAATTATTTTTATTTATTTAATTTTAAAAACAAAACTAATACATATTAAATTCAACATAAAGATATTTTGTATATATATTTAATATATTGATTATTATAATTAGTTAGTTTTTCCAATTTAAAAACTAAAATAAAAGTGATTAAGCCAATTACTTATTTGTACATTGTCAATAAAAAACATTAACTTCTTATTTTACAAATGCTTTTGCAAAAATCAATATCGTTAGATTTTCTATTTTCTATATATTAAAAAGAAATATTGCGAATTTTTTTTGTTGTTTATGCGATATTACGAGAATTTGTTTTAATAATTTTAATTACAAAAATTTAACAATATATTAAATTTAGACTAAAGAGTATATAAAATTTTCTATATATCCTTTTTATGTATTATGATTTTGATTTTAGCAGAAAACTTTATATTTTTCTACCATGCAAAATTTATACTAAAGAGTCATATACTCAATTTTTGTAATAGAATTTTATTTATTTCGCTTTTAGTTTAGTTTTGAAATTGAAAAAATTAACTAATTATTATTATCATACAAAATATATATATTTTAAAAATATAGAATGTGTTTTTTTTATTATTATACAACACCATAACCGATTCTATAGAATAATTATTTTTAAAAACATTTAAAATAAATAAAAATATATATTTTTGAATATTTTTGTTGGTCAATACAGGTCAACGATGGTCAATGCCGGATTTTGATGAGTAGTGTACCGGAATAAAATATTCGTGATGTTGACTACGTGTCTTCATATAATTGGTATATATGTGGGCATGCAATACATTTAGTTCGTGTAGTTGGTTGTGCATTTTTAAACTTGGCATGCGTAGCCATGTATTCTATTATACTTCGTGTAGTTGACTATTTTTTTTCTTTAAAAAAAAAATAGATCTTAGAAATAAAACTTTTATTAAAAAATTAAACGCGTACTTTTTAAAAAAGAATTTGGTCATGGTCTTCAATAATTTTCAAGTATGATGGATATTTTCTTTACTAATAAATAAGTGATCTTTCTAATTGACTTAATCAAAACTCTTATCGAAAATGACTTGACGAGTCTTGGAAAAAAAATAATTCATTCATGCAAACTAGCCATAACTATTTTTCTTTTGTAACCGAGTCAGAAACTATCGCAAGATGATGATCTGATACACAAAGTTTGGAAAAACTAATTCCACAAACCAACAATAGTAGAGAATGAGAATTACTGGAGAGTAATGGGCCGACCTCATACAAGGCCCATATCAACAATCACATTTCTCTTATTGTGACAGTGGTGGTTTTCATTTTCTTTCTCAAACATAACATTTGTTGTTTTCAATATTCCTTCACAAAATTAATAGAGCAAAAAATGTCATTAAACTTTCTATATTTGCAATAGATAAAAAAATACTTCACTTTTCTCATTGATAAAAAAAACATTTAAAAGCTCCAAGTTACATGTAAAAGACTCCAAGCTATTACAAAATATTTCTTCTAATCCTTACAATTTTTTTTATAAAAAATACCTACCCGCCCAAATAATGAATGAAAGAATATAAATCAATTTTTTCCCTATTTTCTTTATAAAAAAAAAAAACCATTTCCCCCGTAAATGTATATTTTAAAACTTATTTTTCTTAAAACCCTAATTCCCTCCGATTCCGCCGATAGTCCAAGCCGAGATCGTGTAAAGTGGCTGCTCCGACCACCGTAAAGTAACTCCACCGCCGCGTCCGCCTTCTCCTCCACCGTCTTCACCGCTCCTCTCCACATTGAAAAACCCTTCATTATCACTTCCGTACATCCTAAGCAACATCTTGCTCTGCATAACCTCTCTCTCCGAGACTCCAAGACTCCGAAACCCTAGCTGCTCCAACATCCTCTTCCAATGACGAAACCCCACATGCCTCTCTTGCCTATGATTTCCTTCACACGCAACAATGTTCCTGATCTCTCTCCCAAACAACATCTCCTCAATTTTGACTCTGATTAAGCTATCTGTAGCAAGATTCGTGTGAATCGCATCAAACATCGCTGAATAGTACCTTAACGAGTTACAAACTCGTGTCTCGAGTTGCTCTGAGTTGTGCTCTGCTTCTTGTTCCGCAAGAACGAGAGCTATTGGGTTTGTGCTTCTGATTAAACCCAAAAAATCCCTAATTGCTGCTCCAGTGCCATCATAGAGTGTCTTGTGCATCTGCATAACACAGTTCACAGCTACTGATTCACCTTCCTTGACGTGAAGCATCCATAGTCTAACGTCTTCAAGTCTATCAACTACAGGATGAAACTCGAATTGAAGATTCATCGCCTCTGCAAATCCGTGGAGGCGATCTCCGGTTTCGTTTAGCTCAAGTTTTGATTCTCCGATTCCAGTGATGCGTACATGGTGTGGTGGATTTGATCTGGAAGCTAAGCTTTGGAAGAAGCTTGGCCATTGTAAACCTTGCTTGATGTCGAAGTCGATAATGTGAACCCTCTCTTTCCCTTCAAATGCTCTGAGTAACATCTCATTGGCTGTGAAATGGATGAACTTTGGAATTGGGGTTACTTGATTCAAAAACCTCAATGCGTTTCCTGATTCGTCCTCAACAGTTCTGTCGAATTCACGAGGTGGTGCTATGTGGAAGATGTGAGGCCACATACGCGCAACTCTTAGTGCCAAAGCTTCAATGTAATAAGCTATGAGGCGAGTCATTGGTGTTCTTCCTCTAGGAGAAGCAAGATCACCGGTTCTTGCAATGAAATGGTTAATCGCCGCGATGTTTCTTGATCTGATCGCTTCTAAACATCCCGTAAGCAAATTGACAAGCTCGAAATCCCTCTGCAAATCGTTCCTGTGATTGTTGTTGTTGTTGATGATGTTTCCGCTGGTCCTTTCCTCTGTTGCGCCGCGGTGTGTGTAAGGATTCCTTGAACCATTTGTAGGTTCTGGTACTCTATGACTTAAGCTACGACTCTCTGATGATGCGCTTGTCGATGATCCAGATGTTTCCTTAACTGCAGCAGGAAGGCTACTCTCAACGTCCTTATCGCCTATACCAGCCAACTCCGTGATCACCGAATCAACCCAATTTGGTAAAGGCTGAGAAATGACTTCACTAGGCACAAAGCAAACCTTTTCCTCATCATCACCTGAACATGTCAAAGAAAAAGGTAATGCTGGTGAAGAAGAATCATGGCCAGTGAAATGCTCAAACCAGAAACCACCTTCGTTTTCGCATTTAGTCCTCTTCGCTCTGCTCAAACAAGACTCATCCTCCTCCGCCAATCTCTTCAAACTCTTCCCTCTGTTGTTGTTGTTGTCGTTGTTCCAAGAAAACCCTTCTCCATTTCCTCTTGTTGTTGCCAAAGGTGGAAGCTTTATGTTCTGCTTAAGCGAACAACCACTCGTCTTGCGCTCAACCGGTTTGTTGCTGTTGTCAAGTGAGATGCTTCTTCCAAGTGGTCTGTTGGAAGGAGTTTCCTTGCGAGAGAAGCTACTACTGCATGGTAAGTCCAATCTCTGTGTGTTCATGGGAAAATGTGCTGATACTGTTGCTGATGTTGCTGCTACTGCTTCACTCCTCAATCTTCGAGTCGGCGACAACAATGATGAACTTGAACAACCTGCCAACATCCTCTACAAAATCTACCCAACCCAATTTAAGAGATGGTCTAAAAGTGTGTGTGTGTTTGCTCAAACAACTAAAAAAATGGAATCCGATGAACAAAGATTAATCTTTTTTTGGTTTTGAATGAAATCAAAGTGAATCCTATATGAAGAAATAAAAAAGAATGATTTTTTTTTTTTTTGTGTGACTTAATATGCAAAAAATTGAAGAATGAAATGAATTTGAATCCCCTGCCCCAAAAGAACCAACGAATCTATATATTCAATAAAGAATGAAAGAATTATCGAACTAATCTAAAAACTTTTGTCAAATCAATCTACCATAAAACAATCATCGGATTCCTTAAACTTTATAAAAAACAAAATCTCATTTAGATGATAATGACGACCAACGAATTCACATCATCACGAACAGAGACTACTGAAGAACGACCTCGAAGTTGCTGGATAAACAGACTTGATAGTTGCTGTAAACCCGGTTCACCATTCCGGTTTTCCATTCCCGGTTTGCCAAAATCAAGAAACTCTCTCAAAACCCCCAAACCACAAGAACCCAGATCAGAAAACTCAAGATCAAGATCCAAAACCTCTCAAAGATTGTTCCTTTCTTCACTCTCTCTGTTTCTCTCTCTCACTCACTCACTCACTTTTGGTGTTTCTCTCTCTAACTCTCTACAGGGGTTAAGGGGTACTATACAGCTTCTACAAATACCATAGTTGAGGCAACTTTTTAGAGTTTGTATTCTTGTTGGGTCTTCGAGAATTGAAGTTGGCGACTTTTCTTTTTACAGTAAATTGTTTTTTTTTAGAGGTTGGGCAGAGTGAGTGGTACACGAGGAATCTGGATCTATCTGAGCCGTTGGATCTTTTAAATCAAACGGTAGAAAATTGGTGACCGTTTGTGAATTGTCGGAGAAATATGACCGTTGGGATGAAGAAGAGTGTTGGGTGTGTACGGACATCAATGACTTCTGATTGGGAAAGCCAAAAACGACTTTTTTTTAATACACACACCAAAAAAGACATTACTATTTTATTTTTGTTTTTTTGTCAACAAGACATTGGGTTTGTATAATGATCATTTTTTACTAATAATAACTATTTAGGGTACTAATTTTATCTGTCTATAATAAATATTGCCAGTTTATATATATATATATATATATATATATATGATTTATTGTTTATGATTTTTACAAGTTCTCTTAATCTTTTTCTGATTTATACCAATAATTTACATGTACTATTTTTTTACACAAAACTATCCCATAATTATAAATCAATACTAATTCAATTATTGTCCGTCAATGTTTTTGAAGTTTACATATTTATAAAGCCTAAAAAAAAACCAAACACAAAAAGTAACACATTTTAAAGAAAATACTGTTCCCTCCGTTTCGTTTTAGTTGTCGTTTAAGTTTTTTCACACAAATTAAGAAAAACATTTAAGTTTTTGTTTTACCCTTTATTAATATATTTTATAAAAAATTTCATTGGCCAAAACATTAAAACAGTAGAGATAAAACTGGAATTTTCACCAAATATTTGCATTGAAAATCTAAAACGACAACTATTATGAAACAAAATTTAAATCATAAAACGACAACTAAACTGAAACGGAGGGAGTAGATTCTTACACTGAAACTCTATGTTTAAGCCTATCTATTAGAAATAAATTAGATGATTTCTAAGAACAAAGCCTCTTGTTCAGTTGTTTGTTTGTTTACATGGCCAAATCTAATGGGCTTTTTAATAAAGCGACGGGCAAAATGTGTTTCTTTTTTTTGGTCAAAATGTTGTATAGTTTTGCTAAAATAAGAATATGAAATAGGGTAAATAGTTGGAAATTTTTGTAGAAGTATTATTTTAAATAAAATGGTAATGAATAAGAATTCAAGACTTTTATAATGTTTAGTATGTTTTCTCCTAATTTTTTTTTTCATTCATTAACATTTGGTGGACCTTTTAGGTGTAAAATCTTAAAACTTTATCTTAAGATATTTAGATAAGATAGATTAACATCTTATTAAAACATTATCTTAAGATGTTTAGATAAGTATTTGGGGGTTTAGTGATTTTTCTAGGAAACACATACAAAATATGAGATGTGATTATTTTTTTTTGTCAAATTTTTTTTTAACCAGGTTGTCCGGGCCCCACCACTGGTGGTCCCGACTAGCACCGTATTGGGCATTGCCCTCAAGTGTGGTCTTGGTGGCCTTACATACCGGGTTCACGTTATCCCATCGCTAAGGGCGTGGCAGTGGCCAAATGGGGTAAAATCCAGGAGTGTCGCGCTTGCATGCAGGGAGTCGATCCCTGGCCTAGACCAACAGAGTCGCTCCTCTGCAAGTGGAAACCACTGGACCACCACTACAAAATATGAGATGTGATTATGTGAACATCATCTACTTAATGACTCACTAGACTACAAATCGCTGAATCTATGTATAAAATCTAAATTTTACACAAAAAATCATATATTAACATATATTAATGAATAATATAGATACTCGTAGCACAAATATATATGTTGAATTGTTCGCTCATGTGCTTTGTAAAATTTTATCATGCTACAATATGGAGATGATATAATAGGATAAGAGCAATAAAGAACTTCTCATGAAAGTCTTTATCCAAAAAAAGAAAATAAACTTTGCATTAAAGCTAAAACAAATTAAAAAATAAAGAATATATAATTGGATATTAAAAGGATTGTTCTTAATTAAAAGATAGAAGGTACCTAATTCCTCACACGTTAACCATTCATTGTGGAACTCCCTTTGTATTATTAGTCTTGAATTAGATCATTCATTTCCTTTGAGTTTTAATAAAAAGTAAAAAAATTTGATTATGAGTGAATAAAGCACTTTTGAGATATTTATTGAACTTGCTAATCAAGTTGTTAAATGTGTGTATATATATAGGATGGTATGAATCCCTTATGCATCATCACAATTCTCTCTAACTAGCTCTTATTCGTATTATTAAAAAATCAATAAAACACTAAATCTACTATTATCATATTTTCTTTTTCTTAAGATGGAATCTATTTTTACGGAGATAAATTCCAAAGCCAACAAAGCGAGGACGAATGTAGATTATTTCCATACAGCTTACATGAAAGCTACTAACACAGATTTGGGAGACGAAGCGTTTAAAGCCGTGACTAACCCGATCCTTTCACAAATGGAGCAAATCATCAACACATCTAAACATGTTTCATATCACGTGCAAGTTCTACGGAATGCAAATTCAGATCCTAATTTTCTTCGAGATCTTGACGAGGTAGACAATATGGGGGATGATGTCTTCGAGAAATCAAAAACTGCGTTAGATATAATGCGAAAAGCGATTGTGGATGCAAAGGAAAGGAAGAAAGCAAGAGATGAAGCAATAAAGGAAGAAGAAGAAGCGCAAAAACGAGCAAAAGACGAAGAATTAAAGAAGAAAGCAAAGAACGAAGCAGGAGAGAGCAGTCCACACTACCAACGTAATTAAAAGTAAACAAAAAAAAGGTTAATAAGCATAATATATGTATTTATTGTTTTGACCAAAAAAAAAAAATGTATTTAGTGTTATCTTCAAATTTAACGAAGCATAATATATGTATTTAGTAACGAAGCATAATATATGTATTTAGTGTTATCTTCAAAATTATACACGATCAAGAAAATAAACATATGATTATTCTTTTCTAATATTAAAGTAATTGTAGTATTTGTTAATCACACAAATACGAAACCGAAATGCATCAAACAAAACCGAACAGAAATAAAGTTATACTAGGATATGACCCGCGGTACACCGCGGGTTAATTATTTGATTTTTTTTTTATTCTTTTTATAAACTAATGAATTTGTTGTGTATAATATTTCCTGTTGTATCGCGGATCATATGCGTTGTATCTAAAAAATAAAAATTTTAAGTTGTATTTATTTTGTTTAGTGTTTAAGATTGTATAATTGTATTTTGATTTGTTAATTCTAGGATTTCACCCGTGGTATATTTTCCCATATTAATATCGACCCAAACCCATCCCACCATATAATTCCGTTCTGTGAAATTAAACATCATTTTGTTATTTTTTAATAACACTTTTATTTAAAAGACATATAATTCGAATCAATTTAAAAGTTTACTTTCAAATAGTTTTCATAATATATATATATATATAAATATATATATATATATATTTTAAATTATGTGTTTTTGGACCAACCCGTAAAAATAATTTACAATTGTATTTTGATTTGTTAATTTTAAGATTTCACCTGTGGTATACTCTCCCGTTTTAGATAATTGTAGAAATTAAGAAAAGATCCGAATGACTCAATTTCGGGTCATAATAAAAAAAAAACGACCTGATTAATTGCGCAATTTGTTTTTCAAAAATGTTAATATAAATTGCACACATACTTTTTTTCTTCATCAACTGAGTAATATATGTCCGTTTAAAAATAATTTGAATCATAACATATGCAGAAAAAACTAAAATTTACTATATGTATATATTATAATAATTCAAAATAATTTAAATATAACATCAAATAAAAGTGAAATGAGAATCATATATTTATGTTTAAATTAATTAGAGAGATTTTAGGAAATTCGCTCAAATTTGTTATATTAGCATTAAATCATCAGATTTGATTTCCTTATCTATAAAAATTGTAAAGAATATACCATAAATTAAGAGTTTAGATATAATAATTAGTTGAGAAATATATATATTTTAGATTTTATTAATTAATTTCGTTTTTGAAAAGTCGTAGTTGATTTCTTTTTTGGAAAATCGCATTTAAAAGAATCTGAGAGTTTTGATTGGCCAGTGAGTCGGGTCAAAAAATCTAATCGGGTCAAAATCTCACTAAAAATCCGACCCGATTGGCTTTGAGCAAATTTGTACTTCAAAAATGTTAAGTAGATTAAACGAACCGAAATCAAACCGAGCTATAAATGGATTTACTATGGTTTCAGATCTTTAACCGAAAAAATCGAACCGGAACCAAACCTTAAGCAGATTGCTACTTCTAAAGCCTAATATCAATACGTCGTCGTTTCATCTGAGTCGTCTCTCTTCACTCGCCGGAGAGAGAGAAGAACAAAAGACGACGGAGAAATGGCGGAGGGGCAGAAGAAGCTATGCCGTTTCTGGATTTGGGCTTTATCTTCCGTTGCTTTCCGATTGATCTTGATCTCCTTCCCGGGAAATCTCAATCTCTCTTCCCGTCCGGAGGTCTCTACCCCTCTCACCAGCATTCGCCGCCGTATCTCCTCTCTCTCTCACTCCCTCATTAGCTCTCTAAGATCTAGAATTCAGCTAACATTTCTTCGTTTTGTATGAACATTTTCAGTTGCTGAAGGTTATTGGTTGAAGCAAGCATCAATGTCACCATACGCAGGTCTATCTTAAGATTTGATCCTCTGTAATTTTGAATTCTTAGGCTATTATTCGAAGCTGAAATTGTACTTGTGTTTGAGCAGGATCTATGTATCATGGCTCACCATTGCTGCTCTCGGTTCTTGGACCTCTCACAGTTCAGAGGTAGTGACTATAATCTTAGGTTTTGTGATTTGTTGAGCTTGAACCATATGAAAACAATAGTTTGTTCCTTCTGAGTTTAATTGGAAGACAATTTGGGTGTTTGCAGGATTAAAGGGCAACCAAGTCATCTCTTGTGCAGGTACTTTTTGATTTGAGCTGGTTTAAAATCTTAGGTAGGATTAGATTGTGAGTGTAATAGATCTTGATAAGCTGTTTCTATATGGGGACAAGAAGTGTGAATATGGAAAAGAGATGATCTTTCAATGTTTTAGTATTCATCAAGAACTTTATAGTCATGCCGTTGATACCAACATTCTCTTGGATACAGCTTGGTTTTTGTTATTGCAGATATATTAAGTGCGATGCTTCTTCGAGGTATTGGTCAGAAACTTCAGATGGCTTATGGACTGAATGCGAGGCTACTTGGCTTTCTTAAGTCATCAAGGGATAAAGGTAAATTTAAGTCATTTGTTGAATCCAATATGTCATCTATCTTATTTCTACTCTTTTGATGAAACACAAATGTATTATCTGCTCATTGAGATTGAAGCAGAGAGGAACTCTCTTTTCTTGTAACTATTTACTTGATGACAAAGATTTATCTCTCCCTTATCGTTGTCTCCTCAGTGATCCTACCTTGTGGTGATATTGCTGCTCTTGTGTATTTGTGGAACCCTTTCACGATAGTTTCTTGTGTGGGCTTATCAACTTCTCCCATTGAAAACCTGGCTGTCATACTGGCGCTTTTTGGAGCAGTTACCCGTAAGAAGATGATGATACTTGCAAAAATTTGATTTTTCAATAGTTTCTCGACATTCTATAACTGATGTTTTCTACCCATACAGGACGAGTTCCTCTGGCTGCATTTGGCTTAGTCATTGCCACCCATTTATCTCTTTATCCTGCTACTCTGATAATTCCAGTATGTAATCATTTCTTATTTTATGTTTTTCACGTTTCTCAAATTAAACAAATTCTAATTGCTCGTGTTTTCCCACAGATAATCTTTCTATTGGGATGTGGTTTGGATGCTCCTCCTATTAAATTGTTCCTTCAGACCAGGAGTGTAGAAAATGAGGAGACTTCAACATCTACTGTTTCTAAACAAGCCAAGTTGAAACAGACAATGCGCATTCCTTTCTTATGGAAAACAGTTGCTCATTTCTTGTTCTGGGTACTTCTGTGGTCGCTCTATGTGTTGGTCTTATGTGCTTTATCACTGAATAAATATGGTGGGCTTGAGGAGATGTTCAAGAGGTATCCCCTAACTTAGAAACATTAATTATACCGCTGTAGGATTAGTTTCCGTTAGCCATAAAGTCTCTATAACTTAGATTCCTACTCATATCATTACATATCAAGTACTTGCAACATAGTCGTTAGGCGTTTTGATATTTGTGTCTTTGCCTCCTATTGTAGGACGTATGGTTTCATTCTCAGTATTGAAGATCTTTCACCAAACATTGGAGTCTTTTGGTAAGTATAATAAGGTCATATCATTGGTGATGAATAAGGGATCCCTTTTTTTATGAAAAAACTATTCAGTGTTCGTTTTAAATCTTGCTTTCAGGTACTTCTTTGCAGAAGTCTTCGACTTCTTCAGAAACTTTTTCCTGATAGTTTTCCACGTAAATATTCTGTTCATGTTACTGCCCTTAGCCATACGGTTGAAACACCGGCCATGCTTCCTAGCTTTCATATACTTAGCAATCTCCTCGATTCTTAAATCTTATCCTTCAGTAAGTAGTTGAATTCACTGTGCACTATATGTTATCTTTTTTCCGAGGAATTATATTCATAAATGTTAACAATGCTTTATATCATTCGACTTACTCTCACTAGGTCGGAGATTCGGCGTTATACTTGAGCTTATGGGCATTGTTTGTCAATGAGTTAATAGGTAAAAGCAAAAGCTTCACATTTTCTTTCGCATTGTTTAGTCTATGCATAAAAACTCTGCTTTTTGTTTCACATAGATATGAAGTTCTCATTCTTCCTCTTCTGTGGATATCTTGGGATTTCTCTCCTAAGCCCTGTGATGCACAATCTCTGGATATGGCGGGTAAGCTTCAACTCAAATATATAGCCCAACTCTTCACAACAGTTGCAAGAAAAATGTTCCAGTGATCACAAATACTTGTAATTTTTTGTTACAGGGAACCGGAAACGCAAATTTCTACTTTGGAAACGCTATCGGCTACGCATGCTTTCAGGTAAAATATAGGCATGGATCCATGTCAAAAGTCATTATTCTATTCAGTATTTGGAGTTTATATTCATAGAGTGCACAATTTGATATCAACCGGAGGATGATGAGATCATCAGTTTTTGATCAAAGAATGTTGTAGTTTTGGGTTATCTTGACCAAAACCGGCTTACGGGTTTCTGCGGTTCTTTACAGATCGTTTTCGTGGTTGAGAGCGTAAGCGCAATGCTAAACCATGACAGGGCGCTGAAGAGATCTAACTCAAACCATCAAGAAGTCAAGAGCTAAGCCATTGAAGGTCATTGCGCCACTTTTCTATTACACGTAAAGAAAAGAGTTCGGTCTTTAGCTTAACTTTGGGCACATGTTGATCTGTGTGAGTCACTTTTCTTTGTTTGAGAACATCATATAAATGACAAATCTCCTGTGCCTTGCCATTAGAGTAACAATTAATTTGTACTTTCTACCGAGAGGTTTTAAAGTTCTTGCTTTGATCAGCAAAGCACAAAATCATTATATTTTAAGTTAGATCGCATGTATATAAGGTATTGTTATTTGTGAATGGTGGAGTTTAAAGGCACCGTTTATGTCCCGTACTTTATCCTTATTCACTGCACCATTCAGGCCTATATGTAAATGACACACTCTGCAGGAAGGTTTTTGGGTGGTGTGTGGTCATTGTTTTCTTAAAGTCACCCATTCATCATAAATGATGAAGTGTGGTGCATTATTCATTTACTTGTAATATTAAAAAACTTGTAAAACCCACGTGGTACCAAAAAAAGAAAGAATAATAATATGCTAGGAACCT